GAAGGAGGGACTTTGTAGAAAACGAAGCGTTTGAGAGAGGCGGGGCATATAGGACCTACAATAATGTACAGTATTTGAAAAATAATGTGTTTTTTGAACATTAAAGCATGTCAACATATTCTGTTACACCAAATACACAAAATAATGATCTTTAAAAAAGCATCATATGACCCCTTTAAAGGTCCATGACATCAAAACATTTGTAAACCCCTGAACTAGTCTTATACTAAATATAATTGATCCTTATACTAAATTCTCGAAAAGTTGCCTGGTAACACAAAAGCTCATGTAATTGAAGGTCGAATCCAGCCCCCAGCAAGTTAAAAATATTTTGAGTATGAACATCATCTGCGATGTCTCAAACCGTAACCTGTGTTTACTGTTGTCTTACCGGCCTGGTTTGTGGTGATGTTGACAGCAGTGAACTGAGGTGAGTATGGACTCTGGTCAGACACTCCATTCACAGCCTGAATCTCAAACGTGTACTGCGTGTGGGCCAGCAGGTCACTGATATGGACACGGGGATCGGTCAGGCCCAGTTGGCGGGGCATGAACTGCACATTGTCACCGCAGCGAGTGCAGGGCCCTCGACCTGAACTGCAACTCTTGCAGATGATATTGTAGACCACATCCTCCCGGCCTCCGCTCTCTTTCGGTGGATCCCACTCCAGCCACAGGGAAGTCTCGTTCACGCTAGAAATCACTCTCTGGGGCGCTGACGGAACCGCTGTGGAGAGTCAAACCACACTGCCTCATCAGCAAGCACGTCTTATCGGGACAGGAGTTTAATTAAAACCAGCCTAGGAATAGATTCTTGGATTATATGGCGTAAGGTTGCAAGAAAAAGTATGTGAACCCTTTGAATTAGTCATCAAATTTAATCTCATCATCAAGTCAGAACAATAGCCCACCTAAATTAGGCCTATGTGATGTAAAGTAACTTTACGCGTCCCGTCCCATGGCTTTTTCCCCTCATAGTCTGCTGCCCTGCTGACTTGAGCACATTCTAACTGCTCCGTCTTCTGTCTTTATGATCTGATTTTCACTTATTCATTAGCCTATTATCACTGTTCTTTTAAAAAAGAAACTGGATCAAAGTAATCTCTGCTTTCTAACAAGCCACATTAAAGTAATAATTTCATAATGGGTAATGACGAGATGAAAAGAGAAGTGGTTCATTGTAATGTAAAACAAGAGTGAAAGGGAAGAATGTTCTCCTCCCTCTATTCTGGACACAGTGCAGCAGTTCAGATTACTGACAGCGTAGAGCACTACTCCAGCATTCACACAGGCCCACCCTCCCCAAAAGAACAGAGCATTATTCAAATCCCGTCGGGCCAATCTCGCTGCTCACTGAGTTAAAGCAATGAATGAATGTTCAGTGAGTTACACACTCATTTTCTTTTTGTTGCACTTAACCGAAGCTTTAAAAAGGGCAACCCCATGGAAAAATGAAAAGGCAAAAGACTTCAAGAAAAGACTGCCTACATGCTAAAGTATGTACAACATGAATCTCCAGTGCAGAAGTAACTAATGTTTTTATGTACATTAGGCATGTCAAAATGATCGGTACTGTGACCGAAGCTGATACTAAATTAAAGCAGTTTACTGCAACAGCAGTCTTTTACAGTATCAACTCAATTCGGTACCCGAGGGCTGTCTGGCTGACAGACGACTTCTTTTAATTGTCATATGTGTATTTGAACCTGTGCATTACAGAATGTCTTGCAGTGTAAATTGCCGTTTAATAAACTGCTGCTATTATTATTATTATTTAATTAACGAATTTATCAACAACAATATTATTTTATTGTTGTTATTATTATTATTATTACATAGCTTTTTTAAATATAATTTATTATTAATTGTAACAATATCAGTGTTAAAATTAGTGCTGTCAAAATTAATGCGTTTACGCATTGATTTTTTGTTTAAAGCGTAAAAAATATTTAACACAATTAACGCAGGGGCGGAGCTAGGGTTGGCCATCCCACTCACAACTGCTGCTTCTGTCTCTTTTTTCTCGACAAGAATAGCATTGATTTAGACGCAGAACATCTGTATGACTACATCAAATGCGAGACCTTTCAGACCTTGCTCTCCAACTTCGCCTCAGCGCCAGGCGCTAGTCAAACGAGCGCAGAATAAAAGGTTCAGGTGAGGAGGGAGCTTCAGTAGAACAACAGTGAACTGCTGTCAGATGAGATGTTGTCAGGCCGTATGTCAGTAAAAACAAATTTTCCTGTACTGTCAACTGTTATACTGTGCTTGTAGCACGTGCTCTTCAATTGCACACACAAATGCGTCGGCATGCGCTTTAGCCTGTATCATTTCATATTAAAGCACAAAAGAAACTACGAGCATGCAATGTCGTAGTTCCTGTATGTCATCAATTGAGTCATGAAGTTACCAAAAAGTGATTAACGCTGCCTTAAAACTGTGCATGCATGTTTAAGAACATGTCTCTGAAATGCAGTGGTTTTCAAAACTGTCCTGGAGCAGCCCAGCACTGTCTCCCTCATCTAACACACACAATTCAACTCGTCAGCTCATTAGCAGAGACTTTAAGACCTGAATACGACGCGTGTCAGATCCACATTATGGTCAACAGTGGCAGCTCTTAAAGCAGCCAAAATAACTCAGCTGCTGTGAACAAAAGAAAAAAAAGAGGAAATAAATAACTTTTGTAGCTTTAAGGATTCATTTATATTTAAATTAGAATTTAGTGTTTGATAACTTTATTTAATTTCTGTATATTCCCTACTTGCTGAAGGGCACAGGTAGCTAGTTTTTAATCGATTGATAGCACTAGTTAAAATGATTATTACTATTATGTTTTTATTATTTTATTATTTAAAAAAAAAACGGTTACACTTTATTTTAAGGTGTCCTTGTTCCAGTGTAATTATACATATGTAACAAGGACACCTTAAAATAAAGTGTTACCAAATAAACTTATGCTAGATAAGTTGATAATTATTTTCATGTTATGTATTATAATTAGGGCTGGGTTTTGACACAAATTTCACGATTCGATTCTCATTCACAAGCTTTCGATTCGATT